AGGGGAAGAAAGAGAGGTGTTTGAGGGGGGGGGGGGGGGGGGAAGCGTCCAACATTAAAATAAAAATGGAAGGTGAGATAAATTGACAGAAGATAAGAGTTTCAAGAGAAAGGCAATGTGTAAATATACAATAAAGATCACAGTCAATGACTGATCAATAAATGTGACCATCTTACATCTCCTCACTTATTCCCGTTTACACACAAATACTGCTGGTAGGAACAAAAAATACAGAAACTGTATTTTGTTGCCTCTTTTAATGAGTGAGATAAATTTCTTACTCACATCTTCATCTTTAGTCAACAGGTAAAACTGTTACAGTGGAGAAAAATGTGAATATGCTTAATATATCTTCCCAGAAAAAAAAAAAAAAAGAACAGGACATCTTTCAAGTTTAAAGATGTCCTAATCAATTCTGCTCTCTGCTGAAAGCTTTTTATTTTAGCGTTACCTGTCCAGAATCCATCGCTGCATATGGCTGTAGAATCATTTAAATGCAAGCAAAGTCAGAATGCTCAAAATATTGCTCGTTTAATTATTTTTTTACACAACCCCAATTTATTCTCGTGTTCAGAAAGGGCGTTCAAAGTATTTTGCCCTAATGCAAGTTTCAAGCAAACACCCAAACAGTACCCGAACACATCTTGCTTTGACTGCTGTGCTTTACAAAGTGAACATTTGGCCACAAAAAAAAAAGATTAAAAAGAAACAAAACAAAATAAAAAAAGAACCGGAACCACTGCTCATAAAAGACCAACAGAACCACTTGAACCTGGAGGTGCAAAACACAATATCCTTGAAATAATTTCTGATCATTGTTGTCAAAACCAAAGTTTTAGATCATTGTTATTGAGCTCAATTTGTTGGTGACATTACAGAACGCTCTCTTTTAAGGGTTTTTGTTTCTCTTTATAACACATAACATTAAAAAAATGAGTAATGGCGACAGGTGAAGCAAAGCAAGAAACAAAACTGCCATAAAACCCAACCATTGCACCTGTCTTTCCTCTGCAGCTCTGGTTTGCTTTATTCTTGACTAGCAGGTACAAAAACTGAGGCAAGAGGGGCACGCCAACCCCAGAAATAAAGAATATTCTTAAAAAAAAAAAAAAAAAAAAAAAATCAAAAACTGTGATTAACCAGATGAAGAGGACAGAATGCCCTGGTCACTCATCAGTCTACTTTCACTGAACGTCAACACTGTTTTGTGTAATGACAACATTATCAGGAGAGGAACAGGGAAACCTTAGGCTGCCAGCATGCCTGGTTTCAGGAAAACATGCCGGAGTAGAAACAGGGTGTAAGAACCTGTAGACACTCCTCCTCCTCCTCCTCCTCCTCCTCCTCAGTTCTTGATCACTCCTCCATCTCCTTCACTTACAAAACGCTTTCGCCCTCTGGTGGAAAAATAAAGTTTAAGAGACATGTTACTTATATTTTGGAATACACCTTATAATATTAAAGGTTAAGACAAGTTACACAACATACTTTTTTATTGTTATCAAATGTAAAAAATACAACAATGAACTGATTCTACATCACTATGTGTTGTCTGTGTAGCCAAAAGTTATTTTGTCACCAATAATCAGTTTTGCTGTGCGTGGCATTCGACAGTAAAATGGGCACTGTGATTTATTTGGTGCGAGCCCCATATGTACCCGGTCCTGCTGTTGTTGATATTCACTAGAGCCCCAAATGTCTATTTTTCCTCATCTGAAAATAGTCCCCATCAAAAGCACTACTTTCTACCCCACCAGTTTCTTGCTGAGCCTTTTTGAATGACAATATTTGTGCTCATCTTAAGCACAAACAAGTGGGCTTGGGACGAAGTCAGATGGTGTAGGAAAGGTAGAAACGAACCAATGCACATTTTGTTTTGCTTTCTTTTCATATGATTTGTTTGCAATTAAAAAATATAGAACACAACATTTAAAAGGTCTTTTCACATTGGAAGTGACTTTTTCATGCATTTTTCAATTCATAATATTTTTCAAACCAATATCCCGTCAGCGGTATTATTGAGTAACAACTCAAACTGCCCCGCCGACATCTTAAAGTACGTATAGAGGTGGAGCTTTAACTCCTGAACCAAGCAGTGAAACTCTCCATGTTCTCATCTTTTTGTCAGAATTGGATGCACCCAAAATTTCAATGCCTTACTCACTTTATGTAGCAAAATTGCCACCAAGTTTTTCATTCCGTTACGTTTATATGCTTTTATAAAGCATATTGGCATCATGTTTTAGCCAAATGTGTTTTGCATTTTATTCGATTCTAAAAAGCTACTATTTTGTATCATCTACTCGTGTCACTCTTGGCGTGAAAAGCCCTTAAGAACGATTTAATGATTGGATATAAAAAGGAAAATAATGTTTTCAAGTGCTTATTACTGCCTGACTAACCTGGAGGGACAGGCATCCCTCAGCTGTTTGGTGATGACAGACTCCTGGTAGCAGAGGTCCACAAAGGTCTCCATGATCGAGTGGGCATGTGGCACATCGAGGCTGATTTCAGGGAGTTCATCGTAGACACGCTGGAAACCCTACACAGAAAACAACATAGTGTGTTGGTATTATATGAGCACACGAGATTTTTCAAATAAAACTGGTAATTTGTTAAAATAATTTCTTTCATAGGAGATATTTCAACTTCAGGCACAGACCCTGTTCATCTGATCCACGGTGATGAGGCCTGTTTTCCAGAAAGACTGGAGCAACTTGATCATGATATGACTGGCAGTGTCCCCTTTCGACTCCAGCACCATCACTACAGCCTGAAAAACAACAATGATATACAACTATAAGAGATTTGCACTCAAATATTACTGTGACGCCTGTGATTACCAAGAAGGATATTTTTGTCCAGAGTTGAGAAGGTTTCACATATCACCACACGGTGGCGGTGTTTGGCAGGAAAGACTGACGACAACTTCACTGTCCTTGCAAAGTAGCTCACAACACTTAAAACTCACATAAAAGAGAAAAGTTTCCACAATGTGACTGTGTGAGCAGTCACATTGTGGAAACATAAGGTACTCTGGAGCCAGAGTTCAACTTCAAACTGTAGAAAAGGTAAAACTGGTTGGATGCCTTTTAAACATGCAGCACGCGCAGTGCATGTTGCACAAATATACACAACGATGCACAGGCCAATGTGTACACAAATGCTGCAAGAATGGTACAAGCTCATAAAAACCTGCACACCTTCATTACTGCTGTGGCACATGCACTTTACTCAGTTTATATAAGTGCATGAAATCAGGTCGATTTTCTTTCCATCAAATGTAGAACCCGCCGTGTTTTTGACTTTGAGCAGTTCCAGTTTTGACTACAACATGTTTAGCCCCAGTCTAATTTAGAACAGAAAAGCCTGCTGTCCAAGTATGGCTGTACAAGACCTGCTGACCGACCTTTTATGCTTACACAAGTACATGCCATACACATACAGAATATTTCAAAAGGCTTTCAACTAACTGAAAGTCAGTTTACTTTAAAATTAGAAGCATTGCAAATTAAATATTCAGCAACACACTGTAGAACACAATCAAAACTTCAGTGAGCAATTATATTTGTATGGAGGATACACAGTTCCATGTTATGCAATGTGCTTCTCCGATTTAGATTGACTTGATTTGGCCAGAGCTTTTTTAATACATGGACTGCAAGCCAGAGAAAGTCTGCCAAACACACGTCACCCTTGGCAGTCACTGAAGTGTTCAGTTTTGAGCTTAAACGACAGAGAGAGAGGAAGAAAGACGTAGAAATCTGACATACAACTCGGACTATGTCTCTGCAAATGTGATTTAAGATGGAGAGAATATTTTATTTCTATATATACACACAGGTAACATTCAAGACTCGCATAAGACAACAGGTCTTTAAATACCTCATAGACCAGCTCATGGTGGAAGTGGGGGACCTCCAGGTCCCGCAGACAGTGCTCAGCCTCATTCACATCTCCTGATATCAGGTACTCCTTCAGCAGAAGGTTCATCTAGAACAAACACACACATAAAAGTTGGGATTTCTGGGTTTTTGCAGGTCGACACCAGGTTATTAACAGTGTGTGGAAACCAGTGTTGTAGTACTCAAGTCCAGGACTCGAACTGGAGTCCAACTCAAGTGCTGATTGTCAGGACTCGTGACTCAACTTGGACTTGAGCGCTGATGATCTCAGACCTAAACACTGACTGCGTTTGGACTCAGAAGTTGGAGACGAGGAATGACTTTTTTGTTTTGTTTTTGTGATAAGCCATAATAATTTGAATTAAGATGATATTATTTATGTAATATTATAAGTATTTATGGCTTTCTAACACTTCCATATCCATTTGATATGAAAACAGATCTCCAGTGGTTCAAGAGGCGTCTCTTCATTTCTCTGGAAAGTTTTTACCTTCAAATACCTGCAGAAAACGTTGAGTAAAAATTATTATGAAGTGTCATTTGTCCTGAATTTACCATATTAAAGTAAGAATAAACTGTGTTTTCACCTTTGTTCACCAACATTTATTCTGGTCAAGCCTTTTTCTTTCTAGCAGACCCCGGACATTTACAGTAGCTTGGGAGGCCTTGACATCTGTTTGTATTTTACGGCTGAATACACACAGAGGCTGTACAGGGAGTCAAGCATAACTGAAAGTACCTGTCTCTCCGAAGCATAAAACCTGGTACACGTCTAATATACAAGTCAATTCTTCCTGTTTTTGCAGCTGTGGTGGAATCTTTTTATTTTCTACTTCATTTGATAGCATTTCTCAGTTATGTCACTCTCACTGATGCACACACACATCAACAAACGCTGGTTTAGTCAAACCACTAGAGAGAAGCATGATTGATGCGACAACTTTAAACCCTCTGAGCTACTAATTCACACAGCTGTGTCCGAGTGCCAAGAAAACACAATGGGAGAGAAATGTGGACAGGGAGGACGGTGACAAAAAAAAAAAATTGACAACAGAGAGAAGAGAGCGAGAATAGTGAGTCCTGCATGTCCCCCCCTGAGGCTCTGCACAGCCAGGCAGGAAATCAAGACTGGACAGGAGAGCCTGGCGTATGAGAGCTACTGAGGTTTATATGTATATCGCTGTATGACTGAGAACGCGCTGACAGACCACTCACTCATTTCTAAACATGGACACAACTGATTAAAATGTTACATAACACTGAATTTTACTACAACTAAGTATCCACACCCACGTTGGCATGAAAAATTCTAGAAGCTCAACATCAAGGAACAATAATTGTAAATGACAGTGTGTGTCTCAGTTAAAGATGAGGGTGTGTATCCACGTCAGCTTCTCCTGCTCCCTCGGTTTTTTTCAGCTCCCACTTCTCAGGGGAGTAAAGTGCTTCTGGTGACACAGTAACATAGAGGGCTGGCCTGTTAACTCTCCATCCAGCCTTCTGTTAGCATTACATAATGGCAAAAAAAAACACTCCGGCCTCTGGGGTAAAGGATTAATTATTAAATTGTTTGAAATATAAAAATGAGAAATTAACATTTTGAGATCAATGTTTATAAAATGCAGTATTCCACCCACTTGGCTCCAGCTCACCTCTTTGACAAGATGCTTGACAGGTCTCAGGCCTCCACCCACCCCCCACACATTATCTAGACGAACCATCTTCGTCTTCATTTTCAGCAGCACAGCAGCACGGTCTAAAGCCACTCTGGGGGGGGGGGCAGAAAAGCGCCACTATATGATTAGTTGCACACAACTCAGCAAAGACAATGCATACGTATCGAGTCTACATTCTGGAGTGATATGCCCAGTTTAGCATGGAGCTTCAAATTTACCAAGATGTCACAAGAACACAGATGTTTTATCCTGTGCAAACATTATCTGACAACCCCACTGTGCTACAGGAGGAAAAGGCAACTGCTCCTCTTCAAAAAGTGACAAGTGGCAGCTTCTTTAAACAGACAGGAGGAACACACTGTACTCTGCTGCATCTTTAATCAGTTAATCGAGAACCCTACAAACTGTAAGACCCTTACAGCTGCTGCATGTAAAAGCTATCAGTACATTAACTTTGCTGGCCTTGGCTCACCTGGAATGCTCACAGTCCACTTTGCCCTTGTAACAGTCCAGGAACGACATGGGAAGAACATGGTCCGCTATGGCTCTGGCTATAAACTGGCCTAACATCTGCAAGTAACAAGAGAAAACACCTTTCAATGCATGAAAGTCCAGGTTTCGTGTCATTACTGACTAGAAAAGTATTTTTCCTTTCATAACTGACAGAGCAACTACAGAATCAACTCAAAGCACCCTCTAAATCTAAGTTGTTAGACGGGAGGGACACAGAATACATTTTAGAACTTTAAAGATGTTTTGAGCCTCCAGACATGGAGAAGGGATACTTTGACCATCGCCACTGCTAATGCACATTCTCGATTTATACAAGTCAAACGAATACAGGAAAACAGATTTGTGGGTGCAACTCTATAAAAAAAAAAAAAAAAGCATGTTGTGTCATATTTAATCCTTTAAGTGTGTTCAGCCCCGTGGTGGCCACACCCATTTTGGAGCTCCTTGTGCACAAAACACAATTCTAGATCTGTTGAAGAGAAATCTGTGTCTGTGTCTGCTGCATTTATTACGATTAACTGAACCACAAGCATCAGAAAAAGATGAGCATCCTTGATTTATGGTTAAGTTAAACCTTTGCTTTCTTTTATTGTTTATGATGACTTATTTATTTATTATTTGTTTATTGCAAGTGGAACAGCTCAGGGTTCGCCCCCGACCTTGACAGGAGATTCCCAACCCACTGCATGGTGTACAAAATTTTTTCTAAGTAAACTTACTACATTCATATTACTGCAGCAACCATCCAAACTCCAAAGACATACAGGTTGCCATACTCGCTCACCTGGGCAGATTCATCATAGTTTGGTTCCTGTGCATTCTCAGTTCAGCCTACCTACCTGTGGCGCCTCCGGTGTGTCCAGGATGAGGTCTGGGAGCTCTTTGAGCATCTTGTCAAAGGCGCGGGCCATGTCACTTTGCGACAGCAGCTTGCCTGACAGGTCGGAGAGCAGGCGGGAGGTCAGCTCTCTGTGACTGGCCTTGCCTTCCAGAGACAGGGACACGGCCAGGGAGGAGAACTCGTACTTATGGGGGCCCAGGTTGAGCCCCTTCAGCAAGAGCTGACAGAAATGAGGACAAAGAAAAGTTAGCCAGCATATCAGTTCAATAGTGTACGTTATACATTATACTGTTTATATTTGGAGAAGTATAAACATTGTACTTAATTTTTAGTTGGAGGTTTGTAAAAATCAAAGTTGAGATGTAAAACTTTTTTTTATTATAATTTAACATTAAAGAACAGTTACAAAAATGTCTGTGAATGCTGTCAATTACAGTTCTTAGAAAGAAATGGGAATTGGCCAAAATCAGAATCAGCAGGTCAGACTAAAAGAAATAAATAAAACACACAAAAAAATACATGTAAAAAATTAAAATTAGCTTAGAAAACTGCAGTCAGTGCATCTCTACTAATCTGCATGCACTGCATAAAAGAAATCATTTAGACTGGTTTACCTGGACCTCTTTTGTGTCTCCATGTTCAAAGTACTCCCGTACAATTGGGTTGACCATTTTTTCCAGCTCTCCCTCATCCACCTCTGGCACAACCGTTTCATAAACCGTGTCCCCCTGTGCAAGGACAAACACATCATCAGTCAGAAAAGTCCACTCATGTACACAAAATATGCACAACAGAGTGAATGCATAATAACTACTGTGAGTATTTTTTATATGCTATCCAGCATTTGAAGTTTATCTTTCAGCACTATTCACTGAAATTTTCTTTTCTAGGTTATTAGTCCCTGCTCTCTCTTTCTATACCGCAATCTAATAAATGTCTCATTAATTTCAACACCTTCATTCTTGAATTCCAAGGATGTCGGTCAAAAACCGGTCCAACTAAGTTCTGAGCTGAGGTTCTGCTTGACCTGGGAAACAACAGGAAGTACATAAAATAATAATCTCAGCACAAGTTGAAGGAATAACAGCCTACAAACTAGACACCACTGTCTGTTTTACTTTTCCCCATATAATATTTACAGCAGACTATTATTTGACCTCATTCTATAAACCCAGGTTCATACAAGCAGGACAAATATCTCAGTATAAAGGATCACAGCCAAGTCCAGAATGTTGATTCACTTTCCCGTTTCTGTTCATGATACATAAATAGACTGCTCGATCATTTGTGGCCGAGTAGAGGCAAAAGAAAAACCTGTATTTAAAAATTCTACAGAAGGTTTCAACTTCAAATGGAACAAGAGGAAGGGGAAGCCTTTTTTCCTTAAGTACAGGATGGCCCGTTCCACCCAGAAACCCTTTATCAGGTGACCCTCCCCGCCCCGTCTCCAACATGATTCAAAGGCCACTGTCTGCACATGCTCCGTGAATTTTTCTGTGTCACTCAGTCCCAGTTCCCTTTTAACACACTGACATCTTTCCACCGTGTTCCCACACCATTCAAGGCCAGATCATTTCATGCTGACAGAAGCTCTGTTCCCACTCTGCATTCAGTCAGCGTGTCTTTTAACAGGACACAAACTCGGCCTCCAGTATCACACAGAGCATTGGCTTGATAACAGGGTTAAAGATTTAAAAGGCCGTTGATTGTCATGGGACGGAGCCATCTGGATGAAACAGTTGCGTGACCAGGCGTGTTTTAAATGAGCTTTGGCCAAATCGTGTTGACTTTGATAGAAAAAAAACCTGATGTACCCCAACAGATCGTTGCATAGCAGGAGAGAGTAATACACTGTGTAGTTCATTAGAGATGCCAGAGTGCATATGCTTGTTGTCTGTGTGTGGACATTCATTATCTTGATTTGATTTGATTTATTCTTTCAAGCATGTAAAACACACATACACATGATCCAATATCAATAGGAAGAAGTCAGACTTATCCAGTCCTACCCCATGACATCATCTTACCATCATTGGTTTGCAAGCAGTAAATAATTCTCTTCTACACCACACAAGTATTATACTAAAAAAGATTATACAGTGTTAACATTCTTACATAATTACATTCATAGTTAATTATCTTCTACACCACACAAGTAATATACTAAAGAATTATTACATAGTGTTAACATTCATACACCACACCCACAATGTTCCATCTAATTAATCATTGAGCCTGTTCTTGCATATATCTTGATTGACACATACCTTTATATT